GTCTTCCCTGCCCGTTCTTCTTATGGCGTATGGGGACAGTCTGCTCCTGCGCCTTTAAGACTTCCTTCTTGAAGACCGTCCAGCCTTCCTGGACCCCTTTGCCCTTCAGGATGGTCTCCCAAGGGACACTCTCAACCAGCGTCCTGAACAGGCCAAAGTCTGCCCTCCGGAAGTCCATGGTTGTGGTTTTGCTGGCCCAAATATATTTGAGCTGTGCATGTGATATAGTGGATTTGAACTGGAGCTTAGGATTCAGACCATCAATTTACTACCAGCATTGAAAACCTAGGTGTCCAGCTGGCCATGTGTAAATGAACATTTTTCATTTCTGTAGCTGGGAAAAGTCACTTTATTGGCAGCTTTGCAAAGCAGGTACACAGTGAACATCTCCAGGAGGTTTTGCACAGAAGTTTTCCTATTGCTCTTGTCCACTGCCTGGCTCTGTCAAGCACAACCAGCACAGACCCTTTCCTGGTGTACCTTTGTGAAGTTGACAAAGCACTTCAGGAAAAAAAGAACCTTCCCTGGGGCAACAACTCACTGCTCAGTTCTTTGGCCAAGTGGTGGGACTTTTGGCAATAGAAATGCAAAAACAGCTCATGAAGGGCTCAGCTTGTGGTTTTTCTAAGTATTACAAATACAGCACTGTCCAGAGTCTCATGAGATCTTCCTTAATTCCTTAGCAGCTTTGCTAAATGTGGTGATGAACCTCAGGAGCCTCAGGTAAGATAATTAGCATGGCTCCATAGAGTTGGTGTCCCAAACTGCAAATCATTATTTAATGCCCCAAGTCTAAGAGCATGTGTGTCTTCCATCAGGGCTGTTCTGAGATATCACATAACTTCACCGGGACTTTACTTGCAGCGAGCAGTGGGAGCAGCACTGAATGCTTCGAGCCCACTTCCATGCTAATAGCAACCAGCCACTGACACTCCTGGACAGCCTGAGAGCCGCTACTGAAGATAAGGTACCTGGATATTTTAGTTAGAAACAGTTGTATCTGAGGAACTGAGATTAGCCAGAAGTTTCAACTCAGTCATTTGAAACAAGTGGCAGCTTGAAAATTAGAGGGATGAAGAAAATGCTGGCAAGTGTTAACCAAGATGAAGTTTCCCCTTCTACCTCGCAGATTGCCAAGCCAGCAATGAGTGTCCCTGAAAATACACACTTAATCTTCCTGTAGGGTTATGTTCCTTCAAATCATTGCCAGCTGCCTTTCCTCCTTTTCCTCTCCCCTATCCTTTCTCTTTCTTATACTTCATGCTTACTTTATAGCACTCTTGGTACCTAAAATTATTTCTTTTTAATTACATTGAGAAGGATGATTTAGAGCCGAAGTGACATAAACAACAATGACCTTTACTTACTGTGCTAAGCTTTCCTAGGTACTTACAGAGATGTTGATTATTTTGTCGAACAGGAACACCTGTGGTCCAACGAAATCAAACACAAAGTACTGTGGGAAAAGAGGACAGCAGATCAGAATCATCCTTGTGCTGGTAGCCAGCGCTATCAATCAGCAACATGGTTTAGCTTTTTGGGTTACTACACAGACCCCCAGTGAGACACTGGGGGTGCTGGGGAGGTGGCGGTGGGCACGGCAAAGCCCTCTCCCTGCTCCCTGGCTTGTGGCTGCCATGGCCCAGACTTGTTTGCTTCTCTCCTCCTCCCATGGCTGCACAGCACTGCCCTTCACAAATGCCCGTGGTGGTCACTCTGCATCAAAGGGTACTGTCAGAAGGGACAGGAGGCACAGGGAAACCCAAATAGCAGTTGGTTTGGGGAGTTGTTTTTGTCTCATTTGTCACCAGCTGGGAAAATTACCTGTCAAGGAAAGGTTGAAACAGTCAAATGGTAGAAAAGGGAGGTTGGGGGCAGTTTAGACAAAGCTCCCAAAGGGTTCGTTTGGAAAAACGCAGAGGCAGCGGTAGTAGGGCAGGATGCAGTGAGGGGGGGATCAGGATGAACAGAGCTTGAAAAGGGAAAGAACAAATAGAGCTAAACCCAAGGGTGCTGTTGCCAGTGCTTTGTAAAGCTTGAAACTTAAACAGCTCCTCAACAGACCTCCCTGCTCAGACATGCAGGTGCTACCAACTTAGTTCATCCCCATTCGCGCGACCAAGTAGTGGAGGCCACCCAGAGCCACTGAAGAAAGTGCCTTTTCAAGAGAGAGCACCTACCTCATTGTAGAAAGGGGCATTTGTGCCTTCCTTTACTGTTGTTTGCTTCTTCTCATCACCTATCTCAATGATCACCACAGGGTCGATGTTCTCACCCACCAGCTGCCTGGCCTCAATGATGGTGATGGCAATCTGTGGGGCACAAGGATGCCACGCGCACTCCTGGGCTCAGGTCCGGCCTGCCTGGGGATTTCACAGGCACGTAAGGGCCGTCACCCCCTACTCACCTGGTAGTTCTGGGATTTCATTTCCTCTCCGTGAATTCTGGTCACCAGCTTTGCCCTGTTTAAACAACAAAACAGGTCATTAGGTGTCTCCAGGCAAGAGCTGGTACAAGGACACATGTTGGAAAGACTTCTCATCACTAAGACAGCACTGTTTATGGCAGGTAGCTTTGTTGTGAACTGTTAGGCTTGATTTCACCAGCAGCCACTTAAACACCATCAGGGATATGTGTGGTGGACAACAGGTAGTCCAAGGGCTCAGACCTGTCATCACATGACACCTGTGTAGCGAGCCAAACCACAGTAACTGTCCATGGGCAAAGTCCATATACATGGAAAGCGAAATAGGTCCTTTCTTTTCCATTTGAAGCTGGCTACAAGCTTTGGTCTTCTTGCATCTCTCAGGAGCTCAGAGCACATGCAAGGGCAGTTGCTGCAGCTCAGCTCTATGCCAGGCAATTTGGTAAGCACCACAGCTTGTACCAGAGTAATTCCAGCTTTCACACAGAGCAGCGCCCAGTGTGTCTGTTACCTTTTCCTATTGCTTCTCATGAAACATGAAAAGAGGTTGGGAGATTCTTATCCCATTCGCATGGAAGATTTTGGTATAATCACTGCTTGAGTACTGTGGGATTTCATACCTGGATTTTAATGACACACCACTTAGATCTCTGTCTCTCTCATATACCTGGTAATAGGGAAATGTTTTGCATCCACACAGACCAGTGCAGCTACCTGCCATGCATGGGAATTACTTCACTTGTTGATCCCATTAAACCTGACTCCATTCCTCCCCTGTATGAAAAAAACAACTACACAAACTCTTGACTATAGAGATTGGTGTCCCCTTTGTATCATTTCCATTAGCAGCAGAGTTGATGCTCTGTCAGCATCCATTTCAATCTCTCCCTGCACTGGATAGCATCTGGTGATCATTTGTCTTGAGCTGATAATATTTTGCTGGCAAGTACATCCCACTCTGTCATGTGGGTGAACCGGAGTGAAGGGATCACTGCTGTCAGCAAATGGATTTTCTGTTAGCAGATGTATTGCCCTAGGGCAATGCCATTCCCAAGAAGGATGGAAAAGGTGTTTTGGGGTATGTTAGGTAAGGTATGCCAAGGAGCACCTTTTCCTCTTTGGGCTTAAGGATCCGAAAACATTGGACAGTGCATCGCTGTTCATTAGGTCTTCCTCTCCCTCTTCTTGTCTTCCTAGAGTGTCATGGTGAAGATTTGCACTTTCATCATGATCACCTGGTAAATAAAACAATCAAGAAAGTAAAACCCACCTCTGATTTCTACTAGCAAAAAGCTAACTTGGAGCAGAGCAGGGAATTCATCAGCGTGAACTGAATATTTTATTTATTTGGATATCACAATTGGAGATACAGTAGTGGTTTGTATTGAGCAGCATTGATTACAGCAGCAGCTCCCCTCCTGTGCAAAATCATATACTATATAAATGGTGGCTGTAGCCTCTCTCTTCACCCCACGTGCACCCACAACAGGCACATGCATACTGGTCGCATCCGACTGCCCCATCTCTCATCTGCTAGAAAGACAGTTTATTGCTGGGTTTTGCACGTATTACTTTGCAGTCTGCCATCCATGGTTTGTCATAACAGTCTGACACACTCCGGTCCCTTCCAAGCGACCAAAGCGGAGGCTAGCTTAGAAATTATTTCTCACCTTTCCTCTTTGTAGAGACGATGAACTTGAAGATCAAGGACAGAAAAGGAGTTGAAAAGCATGATTCATGGGATCTCTTGTAGAGAGTTATACTCAGATGAGACAAATTGCTTCCAGAAGTGCTTATTTTTCTTCCTGACCATAAAGAGAATCTCAGCAGCTAGCTCAGATGTACACATCTACATTTGACCAGAGAAACCTTTCCCACACTGCTCTGCTTTGTCCTCCTGGTCTGACAGAAGTCCTACCAGCATTTCTGTCCCTTGCCAAGCATGTCTGTGTTCAACACCTGCCTTGGGAAGGGAGCCATGTGTTTTACATGAAAGTTTAAAATAAGCAAGAAATGTTCAGTGACTCTGGACGTGAGTTATTTCTGGTCTAGAAGGTGTCAAGTGGTACCTGCAACAGTAAAGATGACTTGTCCAGCAATACCCAGGGGCTGAGGTGACCTTGTGGAGACATCCCTGCATCAAATGAAAGGAAACACATCCAAGTGCATTTTCTGCAACTGCTCTATGGCACTGTGCTCCCACTACAAAACTAGACAAAGGGTTATAACAGTGCTTCCTTGTCTCTTTGCAAAGGTATGGTCACTTGAGGGGTGCTTAGAAACTGGTGATGGTAGCAAAGGACCATGCATTGTAAAGCAAAACTCACTTGGATTTCTAATTACAACTCTCATCAGGTCTGAATGCATCTGTTTATTTTTCATCTGGCTTCCACAAGCCCTTACTCTGAGGCAAACCACCAGACAGGTGCAGACAGACATGACCTTTGCTTGTGCTGCAAGGCAGCCAGGTGTGAGCCAGCTCCAGCCTGGGTGCCCTACTGCCTCGTTAGTGCAGCTCTGTGCCCAAGCTGACATACCCAGCCTCCTGATGAAGGTTCCTCCACTAGCAAGCTCATATACCGTATACACTCCCTGACTGCCCCTCTGGCTCTTGTCCAACCTCCCCAGAACACAAGGAGGGTGAACTTGTCTCTGTATCCGTAGGCATAGCCTGATTTTCACCCCTCGAGGCAAAGGCATCTGTCCATAGTTTTGCATCTGTAGCACCAAGTTCCCATGACCACCCTCCGTATCCTATTTACTCTAGAGCATGATGTTTGACTATGAGCTTGTAGTACTCCGTGTTGTTTGCTTTGAGACTAAAGCAGATAAAACTTCCCCCCCGGCTGAGGACAGGCGTGTGTCATCATGACACCCTGCCTGGACCACTTTTTGTGAGTTCCATGTTGTTTCTATTGAGATGTAAACTGTTTGCAATGCGTCTTTCCCTTTACAGCTCCATTTTCCTGACATTTTAATATCTGAATTGATACCCTTTTTTCCCCTCAATAACCATATGTACGTTGTACATAACTGAACATTTTTTTTTCTTCTCCTGTATGGATCCAGTGACAGAAAATGCAAATGGTTCAGTGAGTGACCACATTCCCCCACTCCACACTTCCTGGATAGATCTCCTAAGCCCAAATCCCAATCAAGACGAGACTACCAGTGATTGCTGTATCTGTGCTAGTTCAGACTCTCCAGCAACAAAGACACTAATGAAACAGATGAAGATGCAGCATAAGGACCCCAGTCTATCCAATGATTCAAACACAATCATTTGAAATAAACAGAGATTTGAATGCTCACATGAAAGACTGAAGCAAATTACAGTATCGTATATCTTGTAGAGCATGGTATATTTTATGGAGCATAAGATAAATAAACTCTAACATATCTGTAATGAGTAAGAAATTTAATGGTCTTTAGTTTTCTCTGCTCCTAAAGCCCAAATCCCTTGCTGTAAGGACCAGAGGAGAATCTGTTTAAAAGTAGTGCCCTTTGGCTAAGTAATGCTTATGGCACAAAATACGTATTCCTGCTTCTGCCCAACAGTGTGTCGAGACATATATGGCTGGTTTATTACAACACTGTAATTCAAGGGCTGCACTAAACACATAGTAGTCCATGTTTTAAAAATTCCATTAAATTTGAGGCATAAGACTGCAAAATAAAACTACAGAAGGTGAAGACATTGTTGTGGCTGAACTACAGGTTTTGGTGAATGAGAGGACTGTGGTGATAGCAGAAAAATGACAGTGGTAGGATGTGCAGGGGAATGTCTCCTTAGCTTGGAAACCAATGGTGTGTTAAGGGAATGAAATAGGAGACTCCGCATGTGTTATGTATGTACCCACATCTGTTAAAAATAAAAAGTAATTATTAAAAATATAAGATAAAATATTTTTATCTTTTATTATATTTTTATTATTTTATTATTTTATCTTTTTTATCTGCCATATATTTAAGAGGAGAATTGCAACTAAGTAAAACTCCCAGCTTTATCGAGCCAGCCCATCCAGCCATCAGAGCCTACTCAGGCTGTGTTCTTATGGTTTCTAGAAGAAGCAGATCTCCTGGAGGAATTACACACCTGCAATTAATTCTATCTGTAGAGTAGAAAAAAAACTTTGAAAAATGTGTCGCCTCTCTACGGTAAGAGTCAGGCCGACATTTTTGGTTTAGTCTACCAGATACAGCAGCCTGAACTCACAGAATCTGAAGGTGGACTTAACAAAACAGTTAATGCAAAAAGAATTAGCTCTCTATTTACTTGGGAGTGATAAGGAGTTTACTGCCCATTTTATCAATACTAAGCCCTAAGACAGAATTCAAATGAGTTCACATGAAATTAGATATAATATAATCCCCCACCTGCCCTTCCCAGTTGCAATATTGATTTATGAGGCCTTACCCAGTGCATCTTTGTTTGCAATAGTCAACCCTTTCTCGCCTTTTTTCTTCTTCTTCAGCTTCATGCCAGCAAAAAGCCTCTTTCTGAAAAAGTAAAGAAAAGTGATCAGGGCAATATCTTCAAGCCCTTTTCTGTGCTGGACTCTAATTTAACTCAAGGACCTGTTAAGAGGGAGTTTTGATTTACAAGCAAGATCATTATATTTTTATTTTATTTTTATTGAAAGCAAACAAGAGAAAGCTCTGGTTTTATGTTTCACCTAATTTTGTTTATTTTTAAAATTTGGCCATGTACAAGCGAACATACTGAGAAGAGCCAAAACTTCTTTTCAAACCAAGACAGCAGGAAGAGGCAAAGAAGGGAAATCCAAGACAAGTTTCCAATCTACTGACTTCCCACACATGTAATTCTTATGCCCGTGACAAGACCAGAAATAAAAGCTTCTCACAAACTACAGGTTCCAGATCAAAAGCAGTTTTCCAGTGAATTAAGATAAACATAAAAGCATTTGTGTAAACTTCCTTGGTGAGGACACCCACTGCATCAGTGGCACATACACCACAGCAGCTTTTGCCATTTATTTAGTTAGTTCTCACTCCCTTCCAGCAATAAAGCCATGAACAGGACTGGAGAAGGGGTTCTCCTCGAGCTGTGTTACAGAGATGCTTCAGCCCAACAACAACCCCAGCTCCCACTGCGTGAGGCTTTTCTGCCTCCCACTTCTTAGAATCATAGAATCATAGAAACATTAAGGTTGGAAAAGACCTCTAAGATCATCGAGTCCAACCGTCAACCCAACACCACCATGACCACTAAACCATGTCCCTAAGCGCCGCATCTATACGTCTTTTAAATACCTCCAGGGATGGTGACTCAACCACTTCC